TGTTATCAGTAAGGGCCAGTTCCTGGAGAAGGACATTGTATTTAAAAGTAGAAAGTCAAAAAATCAACACAGTGGCTGGAGCAACGGGATGAAGGAGAGCAGTGACTGTGAGGTGGCACAGGGTCGGGCAGGGTTTAGTTCTGCTGCACATGGAGTCACTATGGATGGACAGCATCTAACACAACATACAGGAAAGTGCTGGAGAGCAGCTAGAAGCCATGCGTGCAGAGCACAAGGGAGAAAGAGCAGCCACATCCAGGTGAGGCCACGTGTTACCCCCTTCTACCCAGTACTGGCCACTTCCTACAGTGCAGTGCAGAGGTCAGTAAAAAGTAGGGGCCAAGCGTCAAGGAAGCCTCCCTTGACTGGAGAAGATATGCTTCTTAAGAGACTTCCAAAAAAAGGCATTATGGTTATCTCAAGAATCCAGAATTAAGGTTGCATAGTGGAGTGTACTCAGAACGGTGGGAGGGGTGCGAGGGGATTGTATACCAGTGAAAGAATTTTTCTTTTACTTTTCAAAGAGAGGAGTGAACTGGAGTGGGGGGAGGGCTGGGAAGGGAGAAAAGTGCAACAATGAATGAATGGAAATCCAAAATCTCTATAAATGTTCATTAAAATTAATAATTTTTTTAAAAAAAAGGCAAACCCCCAAGGATACACTGTCACCAGAAAAGGCAGTGAGCCCAGTGTGCTGCAGCCTCTGGGGACCTGGACTGTGCAGGTCCCGTGCAGGTGCCCAGGCCCAACACACACCACACAGAGGGCAGGTGCTGAAGTGGAAGAGCTGAGCCAGGACTTCTACAGTGTCAGGAAGAAAGTGAAGGCCCAGTGCCTAGCACACTCCCTCGCCCAGCAGAGTGAAATCACACCCACAGTTCCATGCTGGGCAGACTCCACTGGGTTTCCAAGGTTGTAAATCTGTACAGAAGCAGACTGCTCATCTTATTCTCTTGGAGTGCCTCATGGATTCGAACCACTGACCTCACAGATATCAGTCCAATACACTCTGCACTGTACTACCAGGGATCCCAGGCTCACCAACCTACATACATATGCCTGCCAAAGGAAAACAAAATTCTCTCGGAGGGGAAAAAAAATCACTCTGTATTGTTTTTAAATATGTTGTTGTTACGTACCATAGAATAACCTGTGACTCATAGCGACCCTTTGTACAACAGCCTTAAACCCTACTCTATGCCTTGCCAATCTTACTGTCTCTGACACACCTATCCTCATTACCCGTGACTGGATCAATCCATCTCATCGAGGGTCTTCCTCTCCTGCACTGTCCCTTCACTCTCTCAAGCATGACGTCCCTCTCCAACGACTGGTCCCTCCTTGCAGTGTCCAAAGTATGTCAGACAGACCTTCAGAATCCTTGCCTCCAAAGAGCAGCCTGGTTCCACCTCTCCAGGATGAACCTGTTTGTTCTCCCAGCAGTCCATGGTATATTCAACACTCTTCTCTAACACCACAGCTCAAAGGCATCAACTATCATCCCTATAACATACACTAATTCACTAGAATCAAATGACGAGGGCCCAGCCAACAAAAACAGAACCAACTGACTAAGCTGGAGCTCCCCAAAATTCCACAGAGCTGTGAGCAAGCAGCAGGGAAGAAGTCAGATGAAGAAAAAGATAATTTTATCAAAGAGCTACAATCTAATGAAAATTCTAGAACTGAAAGGAGGGACAAAAAAATAAAAACCTTAATAGATACATTTAACACCTGTTTAAAAACAGCAAGAGAAAGGATATGTGCCTTCAAAGGCAGAGCACTTAGAAAACAATCTGAATAAAGAAAGAGAAAAAAAAACCAACAACGTAGAATAGAAACTACAAAAAAGAACAAGAGAGGAAAAGACCTAAGAGACACACAACTAGTACCTGAGGAAGGAGAAAGGAGGCAGAAGCGCCATCAGGAAAGTCCTCCTGAAAAGGTCTCAGAAACAGACAAAAGACATCAAGTTACAAATTCCTAGCAGCTCTACAAAAACCCAGCTGGATAAGGACAAGGAAAACCACACCGTGGTATAATCCGTCACCCCATAAAGCCGGAACACCTGGTGAAGCTGGAACACCTGGTGAAGCTGGAACACCAGGTGAAGCCGGAACACCTGTTGAAACCGGACACCCCAGTGAAGCCAGAACACCCCAGTGAAAATGGACACCAGGTGAAGCTGGAACACCTGGTGAAGCCAGACACCCCAGTGAAGCCAGAACACCTGGAGAAGCTGGGATACCCAAGAGAAGCCAGTTACAAAATTATCTCTTAGCTTCAGGGAGATACGAGGAATCACCTTTAGAGAAGAAGCAAAAAGAGTTACAGCCAACTACTTAAGAGAAATAACATCAGACAGACAAAAATGGAACAATCTACTTAAAAGATCAAACCAAACCAAAGTTCAACAGGGCAGCAAACAACAAATGCTGGTGAGATTGTGGACAGATTGAAACCCTATTCACTGCTGGTGGGAGTATAAAATGGTACAAACAGTATGGAAGGCAGGATGGCACTTTCTTAAAAAGTTGGAAACAGAAATACCATTTGACCCAGCAATTCCACTACTAGGAATATACCCTAAAGAAACCTGAAGGGAGCTCTAGTGGCCTAGTGGCAAAGAAGCTGCACTGCAATCCTGAAGGTGCACAGTTCAAATCCACCAGATGCTCTGCTGGAAAAGGAGGGGCAATCTCATCCTGTGCCAGTTAGAGCCAATTCGACAGTACACAAGAAAATGGCGGGGTGGGGGTGGGGAATAAACCAGAGCCACAAAGCAAACCCATGTTTACTGCTGCATTAATCATAAGAACAAAAAGACAGAAGCAACCCAAGTCGCTCATCAACAAAGGAATGGACAGAAAAATTGTGGTACATTCACACAATGGAATTATTACGCAGTACTGAAAACCAATGAACTCATAAAACATTACACAACATGGGGAGCCTGGAAGATGTTATACTGAGTGAAATATCTCAGTGACAAAAGGAAAAATACTACATAACATCACTGTCAAAAAACAGAACTGACATGGGAGGTTGGGGAATAGGCAGGGGGAAAAGTGGATAGACAATGAACACTGCACTGGAGCAGATGAGGGGTAGAACTGTCTGAAAGGAATATATGATTGGATACTGTATGCATACAACAATCTGGAAAAGAGGTCCACTGGAAAGTGGACTGGAGGAGGGGGAAGGAAAAAAAATCCAACAATCAATGAATTTTTTAAAACCCAAAGTATTTTTTTAACCCACCAACTTGAGGTAGCCAGAATGTACAGAGTTCCATCCACACTATAGATACACATTCTAGCCAAGCCCACATGTAACAGTCATCAGAACAGAATATCTGCAGGCTCTACGCAAACGTCGCTAATCAGCATCTGTGGAAATCGTTCAATGCGTGTGTGACCACAATGGACTATGCAGAAATCATGACTCAGACTCGCTCACGAGCGCAGGTTCAGAAGGAGGATGATTAAGTCTGCCTGGCCTTGGAGATGACAGCACCTAAGTGGTGACTTCTTAGTAGGGACACAGAGGACAAGAGGGATAGACACCCACAAAGTAACAGGACTGAGCTGAGGCCACCTGTAGCTCAGGAAACCCTGCAAAGAGCACCACATGCAGGCATGAGATGGCACGTCTCAGAGAGCTCCTGCCAGGTGTCCTACGACCAGGACGATGCTGCCTCCTGCTCACCATGCAAGCCATTCCGATCACCAACACTGAAAGCATAGTCATCAGCACCGACTAATCACTCCGCCCCAAGAACCTTGTCACTGCTCTGTGTGGGAAGCTGAATATCAAATTTAATATTAACAATAAACCAAATGCTCTATCAGGATATGTTGTTGTTAAGTGCCGTACAATCGCAGGCGACTCATAGCGACCCTATGAAGGAGAGTCCTCGACGCTTGGGTGCCTTTCATCCTCTCTCCAGGTTCATAGGGTTTCCGGAGGCAAGCTATTATGGAAGTGGATGCCACTCCTCCTTCCAAGCTTGTTTTAATTGGGGAGCTCCACCCCACTCTCCGTCCGTTGGGTAGCCAACAATTAATGCCTTTGACACATCAGTGTCACAGTGTTCAGCCTCACAACAACCACAAGTGACCTCTGTACGGCAACTTGTACACCAGGGCTGTACGACCTAGAGGAATGTCTGAACAAAACAATGAAAGACAGGCCCAGGATATGAGGATCAGGATATGAGAGAGGATTAATATAAGTGGAAGGTCACCCTGCGGCACTAAGGCATTTCTTAAAAGTCAATATTGTCCTTAGTTTGTATTTACTGAATCCTTCCCTGAGATAAGTATAAAGTAAACAATATCTGCAAAAGACTTCACCATGATCCTTTGCGTTTGTTTCGTACTCATGATTTTCCTTTGTGTACCTTCCTTATGATTCTCAAGAAATATGCAGAGAAGCATGGCTTGAGGCCTTCAGTTAAGAGAATTGCTGTTTTTCAAGCTCTCTGTTCTCATTCCTGGTAGCCTGTCTCATTATTAGTAATTATAAAAATACTTTGCAACAGCCCTGGGGGGGCTGTGATAATGAACTTGACTTTAACAGTGACCTGGTTTCTGGTTAATAAAGTCACTCCTCATCACTACTCTCCCCCTTTATCCATTGTTCCAACTCCTCAGGATGTGGGCAGGGTGGGGCCATGGAACCCTCAGCTGAAGCACACACCCTCCCTATACCTCCAATCTGTACTCCTCACAACCCCACACAGTGGCCACCGGGTCAGAAACCTCAACTGTGCCCAAGCCCATCTTTTCAAACCACTGGACCAGACGACACAGCTGCCTGATGATAAGGGAAGTGCCAGGTCCACCAGAGCACGGGACAGGCAGGGAAGGGCACATGTGCAGCCGCCCCTACGCGGTAGACAGGAGCCTTCGAGAGCACCTGCTCCACAGTGCCACATGGCCCGTAAGTTTCAGCACGAACGAAAGATTCCTGCTCACGTGAAGCCCAGGAAAGGATACGAGGCGTGCCTTCTGTCCGGCAGACCAGGTAGAGGCAGGCGGCGATCACGTGGGCCATCTTGCGGCCACGCGTCAGGTGCTTGCTCACAGCCATCTTGAAGAAGTTGAAGGCCGTGTCGAGGCAGTGCTGGTTGAGCTGCAGCTGGTTCCCCAGGTGATGGATCTGCCGCTTCCCTGGGCATGGAGACATAGGGAGGGGAGGTCAGCTCAGAGAGAAGGAAGTCAGGACTATGCCGCAGAACAAGTGGGAATACCAACCAAGGCACAGAAACTAGAAACAGAAACCAAACATCACCCTTTGCCAGACGCCACAAGAAATGGATGGTGGGATGATATCGACAGTATGACATAGCTTCATCAAAAGCTGACTGAATGCCATGCACTGCAGTAAGCACTCTGGAATTTATAACTGAGCCCAAGTCTGGTGCCTGATAAATCACTCCAGCAATGATGTAATAATCAGCTAGAGGGATAACTTGACTAGGTGACTGCCGTTGCTGCTTACGAATAATAAAAAGAATTGGTTCTCGAGCATGGAGAAGGATGTATTCCACTTCAATCATCTGATTCAAGTGTTCTAATGTTAGTCTCTGCATTTTTACTACTTCATTGTTGCATGTCCTGTCATAGAAAGGGTTGCTTCTTTCTGAAAAGTAATCCAGGACACTACTACTGTTCAAAATGGGGATCCAGGCACTGTCAACCCATGAGATTCCCAGCAGGTTATCTTGGATATCCACAGCCGCCATAGTTCCACTGGCACTCACGAGCACTTCTGGTTTTCTTGTGTATCTTTATGTAGTCTTTAGGCTGTTGGACTTGTTCAGCCTGCACCACTTAAAGGTACCATATTATATATGTGTGTAAAAACAATAAAGTTTTTTGCATACATTGCTTTTAAAAAAAAAAAAAGAAAGAAATGGATGGTGCCAGCCACTGTCACGGAACATTGTGAGCAACCCTGGGGTTGCTGTTATTAGGGGCCATCGCGTCAACCCTAACTCACAGAACCACTACGAGTTCAAGACTGAAATTCTGTCTCATCCTCACCTTCCTCACCGTTTCCACCACACTCAAGCACATTACTGCAGTCACTGTGTCAATCTATCTCATCAGGAATCTCCTTCTCTTTCATGGACCCTCTACCTTTCCCAGAATGTTCTTTTTCCAAATACTGGTTGGTCCCTCCTAACAGTTATGTCCAAAGTATGTGAGACCAAGTTTCAGCATCTCTGCTTCTAAGGAGGAAGGAAATGTACAGCAGAACTCCAAATTCTTTTAAAAAAAATTATGTCATTATTTTCTGTGTGTGTACCGTCAAATCAGATCTGACTGGTACAGGAGGAGATTGTCTCTCCTTCTCCAGCAGAGCATCTGGTGGATTCAAACAGCACACCTCTGGGATTGCAGTGCAGCTTCTTGCCACTAGGCCACCAGAAGCCCCCAGAATTTCAAATTCTTATGGAATCAGGACTTTCTGGAGCAAAAGAGGCTGGAAGGGCCCCTGAAACTACTGCCCTGAGAACTTTTTTTAAACCTTAAGGCAAAGATGATGGAAGTCATCCTTACTCTTCAAAAGATTTTTGCTTCTCTCTCCCTTCCACGTGTTAGCCCTCAAAGTTTAATTCTAAAACTCATTTCTAAATGAGTGGTTTGTTGTTGTTAGGTGCCACTGAACTGTGATTCAACAGTTGTCTGAAACCATAATGATTTTTTTAATATATATTCTGTAATCTCCCAGTAATAATAATACTGTGAAATTATCCAAATGGGATTCAGAAAAGGCCAGAGAATAAAGGGTACCATTACTGAGCCTCTCAAGATGGAAAGTACTGTATCTGTGGAAAGAGGTGGTACAAAACTCAAAATCAGTATTCAGAACAAGGCCAGGGACCTATGGATGATCAGATCGTCAATTCACGTATCTTGGGCATGGTGTCAGGCGTGGAAAGTGTGGAGGGATGGTAAGAGGGACACCCTCAACGAGACAGATGGACACGCTCACTCTAAAAAGGGCTTGAGCACAACAGGCATCACGAGGATGGTGTGGAACAGGGCAAGGTTCAGATCTGTGTTGATGAAGTCATTAGAAATGGGCTGAGTTATGGTACCTAAAAACAAACATCAATAGCTAACAGTTATCTCAAACACTTCTTCATATTTTTGTTGTCCATCAGAATGTCTTCTTTGGTGACGTGTCTTTCATATCCTTGGTTCATTCTGTTAATTCTTTCTACTGTTTTTTTTATTTCTGCTCTTTATGGTTTCCTTTCTCCTAGAAAAGGGTTCTGCTTACTGTTCTTTATCTATTTGTCAGAGATATATGGCTAAAGTGTTCATTTTGGTTCTTTCCTCTTTTTTGATGTGTGCTTATTACTATAAAATGATTGCTGAGTACTGCTTTTAATGTGTCCCAAAATTTTTGGTATGTTGTTTCCACTTTCTTCTTCTTTTTTTAAAATGTCTTCTATTCCCAGCAGGGAGATATGGTGGCTTAGTGGTTAGGAGCTGCACTACCAAGAGCACGTACTTTGAACCCACCAGCTGCTTTGCAGGAGAAAGAAGGGCACTTTCACCGCGTGGCAGTCGCAGCCTCTGGACATCTCACCGCGTGGCAGTCACAGCCCTGGACATCTGCTAGAGGGCCAGTGATGAGTCAGTTCTGACTTGAGGATGGTACAGAACAACATTATCCAATAGTGTAAAGAAGGATATTAAATTTTTTTTAAATGGGGTTTCCCCCCCCTTGATTTTCTTGTTGATTTTTAATTTTATATTATTGTAATCTAACAAGATGTTTTGTACTGTTTTGATGTCTGGAAATTTATTGGTGCCTACTTTGTTACCTAACATATAGTCTACTTTCGAGAGTGTTTCAAGTGCACTGAGAAGAAATCAAGTAACAGTTGAGCTAACACAGTGTAAGTTGTCTGCCTTGAGTGTCGTGCTCTTTCACAATCTAACTAGACAGGGGCAAGATGGTAGCAGCCAGCCTGCAGGACTAGACAGAAAACAAGGGTTCAGAGAGTTCGTCACAGGTGGAAAACAACTCAGCATGGAGATAGGAAAGGCTGCATGGCAGTGTCGCCAATGTCCAGTGGACTGTGCTACAGAGAACTGACCCTTACCTTGAGTCAGAAATTATATTAGATAAGGCAGCAAGAGCATAACCAACAAAAGCAAAAGAGTATCTTTAAGATTAAAAATTTGTGATTCACAAAACACCACTGAGAAAGTGAACATACCACCCAGAGAACAGGCAAGAACACATGCAAACCACATTTCTTGTGAGAGACTGGTATCTGAAACACAAAAAGCCTTCACAACTCAAGAAGGAAAAGATTTAAAAATGGGGAAAAGATGTGAACAACATTTCTCCAATTTGTTCAGACCAACACTTTTTTTTAAAAAACATATGGAACGCTTCACGAATTTGCGTGTCATCCTTGCGCAGGGGCCATGCTAATCTTCTCTGTATCGTTCCAATTTTAGTATATGTGCTGCCGAAGCGAGCACCAGACCAACACTTTTATAAAGTACAATTCAAATGTGACTATAACATCAAATTTTGCTATAAATTTGTTCTTTCCTCACTTAACTTGATCCACATCAGGAGCAAAGCCAGGGCCCCGAGAGTCAGGCTCAGGGAGGAGCCTGTTTGTGGGTCTCTCTGGCAGTCTTTGAAGGGCACCTAGGACAGCATTCAAAGAACTTGTCCTCACAGACGTGTGGTCTGAATTGAGGCTGGCCAAGTGGTGGGAAAGGGCAGCCTTTATCCTTTATCCCCATCCCCAACCCCAGCTCCAGGCAACCACCCTCCTCAGCAGCACTTGGGCAAGTACCATTCTGGAGTGTCTGTGCTCTCGACTCCTTCCCCAAATTCACATGGAAGCCGCTGCCCAGGGTCGGGGTTTTGCCAGCACCTGGAAACACAGAAGGCTTGTTAGGTACAGCCTGCAGCGAGGAAGCAGCCAACCAGCCCTGGCTGACCCTCTCACTGACCAGGGAAGCCCCTCAAACAGGCTCCTCCCATTGCCTGGCCATCAGAGCCCTGGTTCTGATCTGAAGCCTTCTACACCCAGAGGGGCTAACATCACATGGCTCGGGGTCAGAGCATTTGGCCTCCCATGGCAGCCTCTGTGTGGCTGCTGCCTTGTGGCCTGACACTGCTTGGCCAGCTCCCTGAGGCCAGCCCGAGGAAGTCACTTGGCCCCTCTACCCAGGTGTGTTGCTGCAATGGGGAGCAGCCTGGAAGGGAACCACTTTCCAACACTTGCACTACCATCATACCCCAGACCACCCAACCTAGACCTCAGCCTTCCAAACCCAAAACCAGTCTTGTAGGCTAGAGCTGAACTGCCCCTCCTCCACCCCCACAGAGAAAGAGGCACACCTCCCTCTCCCACTCCCCACAGGAAGAAGACAAATCCCCTTCTCCCACCCTCCACAGAAAAAGGGGACACCCTCCCATCCTCCACTCCACAGGGAAGGGAGACACACTTCTCCCCCACTCCTCCCAGGGGAACAGGGACACCCCTCCCCCACTCCCCACAGGGAAGGGGACACATCCTCAGAAATGCATCCAAACCCGCAACCACCACCAAGTCACTCTAGAACACCACCAGAAGAGACCGATGGGTGGAGGTGGAAGGCAGAGGGACAAGCAGGGCCAGTGGGACCACATATCAAAACACCCTATAAGCCCCTAAGAACACAGCTCATTTGCTCCAGATAACCAGGCCAAGGGTCACCCCCTGGTGGCCAGCTATGAGAGCACAGAGGTCACCACAGACCCACTTACTACCCGTGAAGTCCAAGGTGTGGACTAGCCGTCCTTGCTCCCAACAAGGTGATAATTCCTACAACGCTGGATGATGCCTTTTTAAAAAAACCTTTCTGTTGTGATTTGAGTTGAAGAACAGAGCAGACTAGTTTTCCATTCAATTGTTCATACAATCACTGCTTTATGACAAGGTTCCAATCCTGACTCTGAAATGTCATTTACCCGTGGACAAATGCTGCCTCAGTCTCATGTGGCCAAGTGTTCTAAGGCAACTGGTACTGACCTTAGAGATCAGTCTGTGCACTGGCCGTCACCTGTGCTCGATGGGCAGCTAAGGGCCACGGCCTCAGGTTCCACCAGTCTCCATCAGGCCAAGAAGCCTGGCTGTTAGGATTTTTTAGTAACATTCTACATTTATTTCTCATTCTGCTCAGGACCCTTTATTGTGAGTCCTTCCAGAGTGGTCAGCTGTAGTAGCCAGGTTCCATCTGTCAAGTTCTAGTCTCAGGGTCAAGGAGGTCAAGATGAGAGAGGTCCTACGCTGTTTCAATGCATCTTTTCTTTACTTCAGACAATGAAAAACCAATGGTTTCACCTTGGACTGCTCCTCACAAGCTTTCACGTCCTCGGTCACTATTCACTAATGCAGCATGTAAAATACCAACTATAACTGATGCCCCCTAGACAACAGTCCCAAGGTCCTGTGACCAGTGACTCATTCGCCTATGTTTATTAGGGTCTACATATCTATCACCTTCACAGATGTATGTGGCAGCACATACAAATACCAACGCCGAACTATCCTCTGCCAACCTATGCATGCTCACAGGTGTGGTCTTCTCACTCACCTGTCTACAGCGTTGAGTGAGTGTACAATTTAGAACCCCGGTGCACCTCTCTCTGCCTTTTCTTTAGTGTTGCCAAGTTAATCACCTATTTTTTTTTGGTGTTTTTTCCTTAATTTATTATTCATTTCAATGAAAATTTACGGAGACTTTGGATTTCCATTCATTCACTCTTGTACTTTTCTCCCCCCACCCCCCAACCCATCCCCTCCTAATACACTACCCTCTTGGAAAAGAAAAAGAAAAATTCTTTCATTGTTTTACAATCCCTGCCCCCAGGTCCACTCCACTACACAACCTTCACTCTGGACTCCTGTCATGACAACAATACCCAATCACATATCCCTCTTAAACAGTTTTCTCCCTCATCTGTTTCAGTGTGGTATACATTACTGAACCCATCTTACTCAGTCTCTCCCCAACCCCAAGGTCAGTACCGTTCTACAACAGTGGCACCATGCAGTATCTGTCCTTTTGTGACTGAGATACTTTACTCAGGATAATGTCCTGAGGGTCACCCATTTTGAATAATATTGCATGAGTGCAGCATAGTATTCCATTGTGTGAATATACCACAGCTTCTCTATCCATCTGCTTGTTGATGGGCACTTAGGTTGTTTCCAACTCCTTGCTATTGTGAACAAAGCTGCGATAAACATGGGTGTGCATAATCACCTATTTTATACAGCCTTTCCCTTCCTCCAATTAATGTGGTGGTGGTGGTGGTGTTAAGTGCCACTGTCAAGTCGTAGATGACTCATAGGGACCCTATGAACAAAAGACCCAAACAGTTGTGTAACTTTCATCATTTCTCCAAGTTCATAGAGTTTCTGGAGGCTAGCTATTTCAGAAGTGGATGCCACTCCCGCTTGCAAGCTTGTTTTAATTGGGAAGCTCCACCAAACACTATCCACCATGGGTAACTATTGTCACATTTGACACATCACTGTCACAGTGTTCAACATCACAGCAACACGAGTTACCTCTGTACAGCAAATGGACAGCCCAGTGCTATACCACTTAGAAGAATGTGTGACCAAAAACAATGAAAACCAGGCCTTAGGGCCGCAGACAACATTACCAACACAGAGAGAGCTCTGTGGGCCTGGTGGATAGACAGTTATGCTACCAAGTCAAATGTGGGTGATTTTAACCTGCAGCCCTTGTCTGATGTGTGCTTGCCAAATATACTTTTTCCTATCTGTAAGTTTTTTTTACTCTTTTGGAGACATCTTTTCATGCACATTAGGATTTAATTTTTGGATAGTCTTATTTTATCTAGTTCCTCCTCTGCTTTCTGTGATTGTTCTAACTGATTGCCTACTTATTTCATAAATCAACCTTTAATATTGCAGGATGTCTGTTTCAAAGCCCAAAGCAGGAAGGATGAGGACCACCCACAATCCACTCATATGAACAGAGGAATAATACAGTATTAGGTAGGGCCCAGACTGGAAGTCACTCAGACTGAGGACAACAGCTAAAAGTGTCCTTTAATAACTGGAACAGGGGACGCACAGTATGAAATGAAAGAAAGAATGTAGGAAAACTGCAAGTTGTAAAAAATGAAATGGAATGCATGAAGACGGACAGAATTTCTAGGCATTAGTGAACTGAGATAGACCTCTTTGAATCAGAAAATCATAGGATTATTATCCAGGAATGAAAAACTGAAAAAGAATGATGTTGCATTCATAGTGAAAAACACAATTTTAGGATCTATTCTAAAGTACAATGGTACGAGTGATAGGATACAATCCAGAGGCATACAATTAAGACCTGTTAACACAGCCACTATACAAATCGACAACTAAAGCCAAACAGGAAGAAATCTAGGATTTCCACCAACTTTTGTAGTCCACAACTATCCCAAGTGTGTCAACAACTTGTTGTTCTCATCAGGTGACATTAAGTACAACCCATAGCGACCCAATGAACAAAAGATCTGAATCCTCTCCTGTCCTGTGCCATCCTCCCACTTCCTGACAACTAGAGCCTACTGTGGCAGTCACACCTGGTTGAGGGGCTTCCTCTCCTCCATAGACCCTCTACCTGAATATAATGTGCCTCTCCATGGAACAGCCCCTCATTTGCACATGGACCTCACCTGCATAGGAATCAGATAGACTATAGAAGGAACCGTTGAAGAAGCTCAATATCAGCAATCAAAACTAGGCCAGAAGAGCATGATGCTAAGTGAACTAACTCAGTTCTATCAGGACAAATAGAAGACCATTATTGTAGAAATAGATAACTAGTAAAACATGTATGAAGATCCAAGGTTGGGGGGAAGGGTCGGACAGAGGAGTAAGGATGGGCAGAGGGGGTAATCATAGGATCACACATTTGATGGGTGGGGGGGAGGGGTAGGAAATGGGAAAGATCCAGTGCAGAAAACAATGTATACTTTGTAAGTAAACCAGTATGTTGGTTTTGTTGTTATGTGCCATCAATTCACTTGCAATTCATAACAACCCCACGTACAACAGCTCTGAACCAACTTTACTGTCTCCAAGACACTTATCCCCATTCCCCTAGTCACTGAGCCAATCCATCTCAAGGGTCTTCCCCTCCCGTGCTGTCCCTCTACCCTCCCAAGTATGACCTCCTTCTCCAAGGACTGGTCCCTCCTTGCAACGTGCCCAACGTATGTCAGATGGAGCTTCAGAATCCTTGCCTCCACTCAGCAGCCCAGTGTTACCCTCTCCAGGATGAACCTGTTTATTGCCTTAGCAGTCCATGGTATATTTAATACTCTTCTCCAACACCACAGCTCAAAGGCATCAATTCTCCTTAGTCATTGTCCAGCTTTCTGATACACTGCAAGTAATTGCAAAGACCATGGCCTGTATCAGGCGCACACCTTAGTCTCCAGACTGACCTCATTGCTTTTCAGTACTCTGGAGATATCCCTGACAGCAGACTTGTCCAACACAATTCACCTTTTGATTTTGCGGCTCTTGGTACCAAGAGTGCTGATTGTGGAGCCAAGCAAACAAAAGCTGTTAACAATCTCAATCTCTTCACCGTCCATCATGGTGCTGCTAATTGGGCCAGTGGTGAGAATCTTTGTTATGTTGAGCTTCAATCTATATTGAAGGCTACAGTCCTTGACCCTCTGCAGCAAGTGCTTCAGGTCCTCCTCAGTTTCGGCAAGCAAAGTTGTGTGATCTGTCTAACACAAGTTATTGATGAGTCTTCCTCCAATCTTGATGCCTCATTATTCCTCAGAGAGCCCTGCCTCCAGGATGATACATTCCGCATATAGGTTGAAAAACTATGGAGATAGGACACA